CCGAATAAAAAGTGCATCAATTTTTGACTAAAAAATCTGCTTTTAAGAAATATTCAGTTTTAATTTAATTAAGCAGTAACCAAAAAAATTGCATATTATTATTATGATTCAAATGTTAATATTATCAGTTGGATTTATTATGAATTAAATATATTTCAATTTATCAATTTTACACGGTATTAAGAAACAAAATTTATATTAGAAAATGTGTATATACATTTTAAATTGTCTGATTTGCTATGCAGTTATAATTTTAAAACTAAATCAAACATACTATGAAACATTGCATCGAATGAAAAGTCGGTCTGCATGAGCTATAATTCCGTGATAACTTAGAGTAACATGACGTAACGGCTCAACTGGAAGAAGAATTTCTACCATACAGATTGCTGCATCGGATGGCTTAAGCGAAACTTAGAGCAACTGAAATCTGGTTCGGCTTAACTGAAACCCCCCGATATACCGTATTTCCTGAAGCATTTCTCTCCCTTTTTTTGAAAAAATTGTATTGATCTCAAATCGTCAGGACAAAATAATGCGAGCTTTTTAATTTCCAACATAACAAATGAAAAGTAGTTATAGATAAACCGCTGGTAACTATCACAATATTATTTCTTTAAAAGAAAAACCTACATTCCAATAAAAACTACATGGTAGTATCAACATTACAATATCTGACGGATATTGAGCAGATATCTGACAGTCGTTGAGAGCTGCAACATAAATAAGAGAAGTAAGGGGAAATCACACGTTTCGGAAGTTTCTTATGTGTAAAAACGCCTGCCACTTGCTGTTAACTTAACGAAGAATCTCCACAAGATATATTTCAGATAATAAATTCAAGGGAAAATAAAGTGGATGAAACGCTAATACTAAAATAGAAATATAAATTAAAAACACTAAAAAAAAAAAAAAAAAAAAAAAAAAAATCTGAAATGTTTCAGATTTTAAATTACGTCCAAAGGGGCGTTTTTTTAACGTTTTGAGTGTTACCTTTATTTATTAAATATCATGTTCTTTGCACTTAAACCATAAAATTCAGTTCAAGAGCAATATCGCAAAATAATGTTAAATTAAGCATATCTTTAGAATTTCCGATATACACAGTCTCGCGATCTGGAGATAAAAGTATTTTTTTTTATATATAACGTTGCCATTTATCGCTTTTAAAGCATTGAGTTTGTAAATCAAAAATTCGTTAAAGTTTTACAAAATATAAAATCTATAATAAAACAAATTCCAAATTTGGGATTTCAGATGCCCATATTCGCAGTAGGATTTCGTCATTCAAAATTCGATGGCTCTATGTACCATTGTTTTATCACAATGCGTGAAATAGACAATCATTTATGCAGATTTTTCATTATTTAATTTCTTCAAATATAATGCAGGACTCTAACATTTTGTGGCAACAGTTTGAAAAGTGAACCGACGTTTATGAGTCCGACGCAAAATCGCAAAACGAAAACAATAGTCCTTCAGGGACAAAGCCCCTTTGGACTAATAAAAAAATAAAATAGTCAAGGGAGTATAATTTAACATTAACCTAGTTCTTAGGGGGGAACTATGTATATTAGAAGAACGAGAAAATTAGCGAATATTTTTAAAAAATTCAGAACCATGCGCTAAAGCTAGGTGAAAAAAATATGGTAATATTTTTTACGCTTCATGTGTCACGGTTTACGGTTCATGCTTTACGGACATGTGTTAATATTTTTTATAGTTTACGGTCATGTTACTTGCTTTGGATTCGGTTTTTGATGGTGGACCCTGTATTATAAATCCAAGACTTTAGATGATTTGAACTAAACTACTGAAAAGAGATTTGTAAAAATGAATAAATGTAAATGAATTTAAATATTATACAGTACGTAAGATCGGCTTAAAAATAGACATTTTTTGCAATCGATATAGTTTACACTCAGTGTTTATGTCGAATTGTTTCCAATCATTTTCCCTCAGTTTTTATTTAAGTCTCATATGAAAGTTATAAATAAATTGAAATTTTATTCTGTGATATCTGTTTATTTTCTTCCATAACAGACAACACTTTTTTTCTCTTGCTAGAGTCATATTCTTTTAAAATTCTAGTTAACTAGAAAAAAGCCTTCATATCTTTCAGTTGTTATTTTATTTAATGTTCTTTTTACCATGGCTGTGGATTCGGTAGGGAAAATGACCGACTCCGGCTATGACTCTGACTCCTGGAATTTTAATGACTCCGACTCCTTCATATATATGTAAACATATAAACATGGGTACAGCTTATTTTTTAGTATAAGAGAAGTAGTAGATGCTACAGATAAAAATTGATGCATAGCAAATTTTTTATATTAATTAGCATTTATTATGAAATGGATAAACTGGCATTGGTAATTTCTAAGAAACAGTAAACTTCGGCAAGATCTTCTTTGTTAGAGGACCATAGATCCAATTTGATAAACTTCAGAATTGAGAACTTTCCACACTGACTTGAGTAGGAAGAAGAGCTGTTACTCTTACGGCTACTTCCTAAACTTTTCAGGTTAGATTTTTGTAAGTTCTAAAGAGGTGTCTTGCAAGAGCAATCATATTTATCTATTTCTTCAAAGGTCGTGTATAAACCTTGTTTGTATTTTTTCATTTTTATATCTAAAGGCTCTTGGTTCTTTATTTTCATTCGCTTTGCCTTAGCCTTTTCAATATTATCCAAATATTTCTCAAAATCTAATTCATCAGTGGAAGAAGATGATAGAGACTCGGTTGCAATATCTGCAGTTCGACTGTCCTGATTTGAATACTCCAGTTGTCCTGAGAATAATTTCATTCTTAATGAAAGCTCATAGCTGGCTTTCTTTACCTTTTTAATTTGTTTGTCATCCAACAAAATTCGGCGTTTTGGATCTACATATATTGAACCCAGTGCGATCTTACTGTCTAGCAAACTAGTTTCTCTTTTCTTCATTTGATTTCTTCTGCAATAAACCCTCCATTCCATCCAAAGAACAAACATCGCATTCTTCCAGTCTTGCCTCATGTTAATTCCTCAGATTGTAGCTTTTTGGTGGCTATATATGGTATAGAAAGAAGAGTTTCCAATTCTGCAAGATCATTCCTCAGTCTTTCTGTTAGTGAAACATTAAGGTTATCTACATCTTCTAACATTCTCGTCTCCTGTTAATTCTTCAGATTGTAGCTTTTTTGTGGCTATATATGGTGTTGAAAACCACAATATATTTCTGCATATGTAAGCCTTAAAATATTGCTCTAGTAAAATGAGTATTTTTTATTAGTACCTAAATATCACGAGGATATACAGCAGATAAAAAAAAATTAGATTTGTCGCTACTATGGAAATAATGTAGAAAATTAAACTGGGGCATTCGTTTCAAAGTATTTATTTTAAATATATTATAAATACTGAATTTTCTTCATGTAAAAACTTATTAAATTTTGCTATTCAACTGCTCAGTCATTTTTAATAAAACATAAAGGTACATACATTTGATTATATTGGTATAAATTTAGAGAAACAAATTTTTATGCATGGCTGATGATTATACCTTATAAACTATAATCCAAAATTTCGTATTATTGACCCTTCTATTTATTGGAACAACAAATTAGGTTCTTTTATAAACGATCAGCCGGAAACGATACTCCACTTAAAACTCAGTGTTATTTCAAACATACAGTTGGCGGAAGGTCATGTGTTTTTCACGTCAGAATATTTTATTTTTAAAACTTTAGTTAATTTTTCACTGGTGTGTCTTTAAAGTAGCGAGTACAAGTAGAACTTAAGATTTCCTACTTTCTGAACTGATGGGGTGCCAATGCATCAATCCAGACATTGGTGTGCTTCCAGTGTTGACAAGAGCCGATGTGAGGAATGCCTTTATTTCCGTATAAGGTTGTCGAAGAATCTTTGATTTCTCAGATGGTATAGTATCAGACTTATCATAACTCCTTTCCCGTATATGCATAACATCCAAACGATTTGGCGTTTGAATTATTTATATTAGAGGCAGCTTTTTTGGTATGGTGGTTAGGAAACTAGCTACCATAGTATTAGGCTCGAGTTTGAATCTGGAACAAGGCATGAATGCTTCTAAGTGTATAGTATCTTTGCGGCATGGAGACACTCAAAGTACTGTGCAGCCGAGAATCTTTTGAGAGGTGATGTAATGAGAGAAGGGGTGGAAGACCCTCACATTGTTGTCCTCTCTCAAAACTGGTATGGAGCTTCCCCTTTTTCATGGGTGTAATTAAAAAGTTTAATTCCCTTTGTTATGCACCTTGGACAACCTTCTTGACGATGAGACCGCTAAATACATAACAGAATTCAGCAATTGTCGAAGAATGCTTGACTAGCAAAGTATCTGATCATTGGAGGGGAAAAAAGTCAAACGTAATGTCTTTATTAATTTACCGTCTGCCATCAGCGCAATTCTGAGAAGAAACATTTAAATAAATTGAGCATTGAAGAAGGAAACTTCTGTGTTTTGATTGCTTAAATAACAAAAAGAATAATTGTAACTGAGTATAAAGAGCTTGATAATTATTCATCTGATTCATTATTCATCATGATGAAGTGTTACTTTATTGGAGAGGTATTTTCTGGCGACTGAGAAAGAAAAAAAATAGTGGAAATGCTCGCATTTCCACTATTTACTAAAGGGTAATTTTACTCCTATATAAAAAAGTTGAAAACAAAATAAGACATAATATGCAGAATATAAAGGGAATATTGCTTGGGTAGGTACTTCTGTATATGTAAATTCGTATACGCCATATTGTAGTTGAAAATAAAGTTTCAAATTTATTATTTTTATAGTTTCTTTTTATAAAAATAATGATTAATTACGAATAAAATTTTATTTCTAAAAATGTTTCTTCCTTTCTCTCGATGACAATTAAAATATCCTTTCCTGGGTTGTTAATGTGTTCATACTAGCATAATCTGTATATATTATTTAAATGCAAAGTGTCTGTTTGGTTTACATACAAATTTAGGCCAGAGCTTCTTATTTTGTTTATTTATAAAATAAACAAAATTAAAGTTTATTCACGTATATACAGAAGTTCTATTTTACATGTGGTACAGTGTGCAGTTTGTACATCTATGGTTCTTGAGTCTTCGTCATCATTAAAGCACTATAACATACCATATGACGACTAGTTGTGCATTTCTAAACAAAAAAGTGTCCATAAGTTGGTAAATTTACCACCATCCTCCACTGGCAGCATATCCACCTCCGCCATAGATTCCTCCTCCGAATCCTCCAGCGCCATATGAGTATCCTCCTGGTCCATAAGCTGGAATGAATCCACTTCCCTGGTGCTTGTAGTAGTCATCTCCGAAGTGTCCTCCACCGAATTCATGATGTCGATTTAATCTGAAAAGGCCAAATGCAAAAGAAATCTTAAGCATTGTATAAGTATTAATCACCAACATTATCTTTCTGTTTCACCGATATCAGCCATCAATGGAAATTAATGAGTATCTTGGACAAACTACCACATAATCAGAAGTATCATTAAAACTAGGGCTGCATTACATGACACCAGGTTCTGTTTGAAAGTCAATGAAAGATACACGTCTATATAACTGTAAATCCTCTAACCGGTTGAAAGGTCAAGGGTCAGGAACTGACAGCAAGGACATATCTTGTTTAAGACTGTCTGCCACAAGAACACCTCTCGGCAAAATGTCTACAGCTGTTTCTTTCTCGTAGAAGCGACATTTAAACTATTTTCATAGGCGTGTTTTGAAGAAATGCTTTTAAGTTTGCTATCATATTGTATATAATGAATCTTTTTTTTTTTTTTTTCTTTTTTGATTTCTGCCTTAAGTAACGTTGCTATTTTGCCTTTTCCATGGCCAATATTTCTCAAAAACAAAGTAACAGTAAAAACTTTACCTAACTCACCCCTAGTTTAAATGCATAAGATCTGTTACTACAGTGACTTCCGCCGTTTGGAATAATGCAGAGAATAGTTCTTATGTTCGATAGACAGTACTGTGATTAATTTACTATACGAAAAATTTTGAAACGTTTTCCTGTTATTTGTGCAGAATGAGTGCACATGGATTTTCGCGAATCATGAAAATGCGTCATACTGAAGTTTTAGCAAGAAATCTCACCGTGATATCCAGGTCAAATGGTACAACCCCAAAGCCCGAAATTACTGAATTTAAATCAAAGCTGTATTACTAACTTACTGTATAAATAAAACTGAACCTGATATATATAGTTTTTTTGTTAAATAAGCAGTCAAAATAGATTCTTCAGCAAATTTCTTTGGAATCGTAAGCGGCCAAATAAATAATGGATGAATTAATTCTAGTTTGAATTTAAGCAGCGTGTTTGTCATAATAATCAAAATTGCTAATCATAGACTTTTTTTGAGTAAACGAGAATACTAGTTGGAATTGAAGATCTGGAGATAATTATTTTGACTGGCTATAAGTTCTAGATACAAAAGCAATTAGTTTTAAAATTATTTTCCAGCTAATACTATACTCATCTTTTCTACTCTTTCGATACAATGCAGAGCTGCATCAGTTTAATAAAATAAATTTTAAAATTTCCAGGAAATTGTTCTAAATTGTTCTTTAGTATGACGATCTTTCAATTCTCTTACCTTTGTAAGACATTTGATGGAAGAGGCTATGGCTTCGATGGAACTGGTTTGAATTCTGGGTAATGTCTGGATGTTTATTAGCGTAGTGTTTTAAAATTAAACTATACTTGCTTTTCATCTTTCTGTGATTAGATGATTCTCCTTTTCCCACCTACAAGAATTCTAAACTCTAAGAGCACAGATTAGAGATAAAATTTAATTAAAAGTTTTATCCAAAACTACAGTCTTGTAGAAACTATAATTTAGAAAAACTGCTCATTGCTAGAGTCTTAGAAATTCAAACTTTTAAATAAGTGTAACACAGTAGATTACTTACATTACCTCATTAGCTCGTATTCAGCTCTTGCGGTTTTCATCCCAGCTCTCTAACAAATAAAATAGCACTCAGAAAATCCCAGATCGGCACAGCTCTTTCTTGAAACTTCAAATTCACGTTTCCATTAATTTAATCTCAACCTAATTTTTTCTAAAAGTGGCTGACGAAAAGAAGTAGAACGTAAAGGAAGGAATTAGCTTAAGAATTAACGCATTAGGTAAAATAAACTATTCTCATGCAATTACAGATTTAATGACGAACTTTACTGAGATTATTATGGAAATAGTAATGCCTTAACTAGCAAATTTTTGTCTTATAGTTGCTTTTAAACTTACACCGCCAACAAATATTACAAAAATTTGCTCACTTGTTAGGTACATTTTCTAAAGGTGTGGGATTCAGGTAAAGCGGCTTTACTGGCGGGTTACCACGGCTCTTTCCCAAAATTACCAATTCCGTTGCTCAGCTTAATTTCATACTGATGATTTTCGACGAAAGAAAAAGAAGGTATGGAAAATAATTAACATAATATTATGGTAGTTGAAATAAATTGTACAGTGATTTTGTTGATTTGTCTGATCAAGAGGTTCAAGAAGTCTGACTAATGGTACATACACTCCTCTGCTTCGTCTGTATAATTCAATGCAGATTTTTCCTTTTGAAACCTAGTGATATTTCAAATGTCTTCAGAAATAAAAAAGAAAATCACTATTAGTGACTTTGTTACGATTGGATACTCATCTGTTGGAGCGTAGTACCTACTCCAAATTTCTGAAGTATTAAATATTGCTATTTTCTTTTGGATCTGAGAACTTTACGGAAGAATGCTTTGCATGGACATTTCTTATCTTTTAGGGAAATAAATATATAAATTATTCTAGCTAGGAAACTGGAAAAAATTCCTGTATGTAATGAATTCGTGAAATCGTTGTACTTTAATCAGCGTTATAATGGGCTTAAAACAATAGGAATACATTGTGTAGTTAGTGCAAAGCTAGCCGCCTTTTAATCAAGTTGCTCAGTGTCGAAGATTTTCAGAGTTGTTTAAATTCCTTATAGTGCTAGAGAGATCAGGATCTGAAGGCTAGAAAACATCTTTTTATCTTCAGAACTGTGTTGAATTTCCTCAAGTATCTAAAATGTTGGGTTTTCAATCATTTTATTATAAAGCTACAGATTAGTTCTTGTGTTCTCCTTCTACAGAAAGTTCACTTGTTCATTAACAGGAAAACTTGTTCTCAGATTACTGTTTTATCGAAAAGGAAATATTTGAGAGATTTAAGTGTTTTGCTATATTTTTGACACAATTAATTTCATCTGGATAAGATAGACACTTAAATTTAGTGTGGTTAATTCTGTTATCTTTCATTCAGCCTGAACGTATCTTAACTTATATTTCATAAATATTCGCATCTATTCAACATTCATTTTAAAGGAAAAATGTAGGTGTGGTCGGTTGCAAGTTTGAATTCCACACGCACTAGGAATTCGACTTCAGAAGATAGATACCTCCATTGTGATGTGAATACCACTTTTTTATTTTTGCATTTCTTCACAATCTTTAATTTTTCAGCAGCGCCGGAGATGACAGCTAAGTATAACATATAACTATCTAACTCAGATCTATCGTGCAACTATCCTTATAACTGGCAAAAAAACTTTTTGCCGTTTTATTCTTTTTCATCGTGTGACTACCCACTCGTGGCAGCTGGAAACAGTTTTATAAACATTGATAAATGGATACTAAAGAGTCATAATTTATCAAACGTGGTTATAATTTCTCACATTAAATGAAAAATGCAGCAAACTATGATAAATTTCACTGGTTACAATGGAATAAGAGATGGATATAAAATGAATACTTAAAACTAAATAAGAGGCTGAAGGTAGAAACTTTAGCTGATTATATTTATTTATTTATTATTATTTTTGCAAAAGCTAGTTATTTTACATTCCTGGTTCCTGTTAATTCTAAATTTTCTGATTTAGATCATTGGCTTTGGATGGTAGTTTTTAGAAACTGTTCAACGAATTCGTTCGTTAGTCTTCACCTGCTTTGCCATATTCAGAAATACCATTCAGATGACGTTTAAAATGAATTGGCATAAAAAAACTCGCAAGGTTGAAATTAGGCAACAGTTAGCTATTAAGTTACAAGAAGACTGCAATTAAAAATATGGCAAAGCACTCAAGACAACTTTTCCAAAAGGGAAGGATATCTTCATGTAGGATGTTTTAGGGGATTCCTCATATTCTTCTCACACATTGGGGAAACCAAAAGTTGTAAGAACTAGGTGCAATTGTGAAATGTATTGTTCATGTGCCGAAAGAGTAATTAGATGGTAACATGAGAAACAAGGGGATACCAAAATTTAGTTTATGTTTTCTTGACAACTCATATCAGTGTCTAAGGTTGTAAAATCTGTAAACAGATTCCGTTAAATTTTCCAAGCACTGTGTTCAATTGCCAATTCCACTGCAACCGAAATTAATCCCAAGCTTTATTACTGAACTGATATTATTTTATTCTAATTTTAGTTTAGTGGTTATAAACTATAATCACCAGTAAATATTTCAGTAGTTTCCATTTTTCTCAAGATTCCTTGACACTTGCTATCATTCAAGCAATGGTCAATCAACAAATTCGAAAAGTTCTGATGGTCTGGCTTGTTTTCGTATTCCAATGATAAAGTAAGCTGAACGCTTAGAGTATGCTTCCAATATTTGCTCCAACTATAAGGTATTTCTCCCGCTTTCCTAGCGTGCCTTCGTGGTGTAGTGGTTCTGCACGCTGGGCCGGTATTCCAGAGGTCCGTGGTTCGATTCCCGGCGAAGGCGTTTGCTAATTTTTCATTCTGTCTGCTTCCAAAAATACCTAATGTCTCTACACAACTGACATCATACATTCGAGTTCTAATCAATATCCATTTATTTACAACTTATGAACAGAAAATTCCTTGCTTTGTCTATTTTGCTAACGACCGCGTAACCTAGGCTTTCCTAATAAAAGTTGGAAACAGATTTTGGTCCGTTGCAGTCTCTAGCAAGTACTGCCTTTCTGTAAATTCAGGATCCCTACTGATTTGCTAGAAAAAGCCCTAATCGCCTAAGTTAACAAAATCGTTTTTCCAAAATACTGATCGTGTGTAATTAGTTATTGTTTTGGAGATTTGCAGTGATGATTATTCGTTGCTCAATGAGATTTTGACTAAGGCTCAATTGCTTAAGATTAAATTTAATTGTTTGATTCTTAATAATTAAGCTTAATAGATATAAGCATAAAAGCTTAGTTTAAGGTAAGTAACGTTGTTTAAAAACTAGCCAGAATAATTAGAGAAAAAATACATTTTTTTCGTACTAAGTTTTCCAGCTAAAGACCAATAAAATTTAGCTGCATAGGGTTAGGTATAGAATCATCAACTTTTAAAGCTTCATTGTAAATGTTGATAATTTTTTGTGTTGATTATTGAAAGCTGTTTTCCTTTACTCATTTTTGGTTCATAAGGTAATGTAAAGAGACACATAAAAGTATTAATTATTAAATTTACTGAAATTACTAAATTTTGCAGTCGTTGGTTTGGATTTACCTAATGGGGATAGGAACAGGAAGTGGTAGAACTCTTGGAAGTGCCCTGGATCCCAAGGCACCTAAGACGAGACCGGCTTTCAGAAGTTTCTTGAATTTTCCAGCTTCCACTTCGAGCATTAGATTCAGAACCAAAAGGATGGTCAGAGACAGAGCAACTTGCTTAGTAATGGATTTCATGTCGATTCTTTTACACCAGATTTTGATTTTGCCGGTATTTTACCTGAAAAATAAAATTTATATTTGAAAAACTACATAGTAAGCTGGAAATAATTTTTACCCCTTCCCCCCAAAAAAATGCTGAACTACAGAAAACTTCAATGTTGATTTTGCACTCTTCAGCAATCTGAAGAAACATGAAAGGAAGGATATATACTCTCAGTTCAAGACTTTGCCGATAGTGCTTGATTTAAAGGGCCTCGAGCATCAGCTGTGACAATAATGAATTTCGCCCTACACCATAGAAATTTTAATAGCGGGTTTTAAAGGCATGATATCTGAAGATATTGCATTTAAATTCTCTTACCAAATTCTCGAAATTTGTGTTGTTCTTACCAGCAATCTTCAGATCATAACATAATCCTGATAATTCAGACCAGAACATATATTTTAGATAAGGTCCAAGAATTCATTGTGGCCAAAAATAGGGAGTTTGTTGTTTGTAGATTCCTTGGGTACCTCAGGCGAGACACTATGGATTTGCCTTCCTTTCTGGCAAATTTGATGAAGAAAACCTCCAACCAAGGGTGTTCAGTTGCCAACCTTTTCAGAGGACTTTCTATTTGACAGTATCTTGAGGTTCCCCATTGAGAAAAGAAGAGAGAGATCTTTGGAACTGGAACCCGAAGCTATGGCAACTGTCTCTCCTATCACCATGCGTAAAGGCAGCGTTCTCTAAATCTTTTGCTATGTGTGTTATGAATACTACGTAACAGACTGAGCTTTATACATGGTATACTGAAAATACAATTAAACGTTGCAATATGTTATGGATAAAGAGTTACAATTTTAAGATAACAATGAAGAATTGGCTTTTCTCTCAAATTGTCTGGAGCTAACACTAGTATGGGGCATTCATAAGTTCAGTATCAAAATTCACTGACAGCTGAAAAATTATTTAATATTTTAATCACATTTTATAACATAAATGTGTTTAGTTTTTAAAAGTTTCCTTTAATGGATTTTATTACAAGGATTGCGTTGCCTTTAGTCAAATTTTAATCCAGCAGACTTTGTGTCGGTCCCCAAATTGTACCTTTAAATTTGAACTATCGTGTATACTGAATGCCTCAAGTCTTCTGGCATAAGTTTCATTATCTTTTGCAATGTTACGGCAGTCGCAAGTCGTATTTCCAAGCTGTCACTCGGATGTAAGTCAATAAAAGATATGTGAAGCAATAAAGGCGTTAAGCTACACATTAACAGAGTGACCTCATTGCAAAAGCTCTTTTGTTGCTCAACAGCGAAGAGGCCTCAAATGGTGAAATGCTATTAAACACAAACTCTTGTTTGGTAGGTGACGTAAGTGAAAAATGGTTTGGCAATGTACTTGCTTTTTCGGGTTACTAGAAATTATCCATAACACCTAGAAATGTTACACTTTTGCTTGAATCGAATGACAACAAGCCCTAGGTAGGTTTCCTCTTTGACAAGGAAATTCTACATAATTCGTTTGGTTATCTGCTAAAGATCCGTTGAGAAGATTCGTTAAATATTTTGCGAAATCTTAATACATATATGATCAAAGAATTAATTTAAATTTTATGTTGAGATAAATTCTGATAGTTTTTAATGTAAATAATGAAGATAAACAGATGCACGTAGTTTTTCTCTAGACATTGTGCTCGAGAATATTGTTACGAGAAATCTAGAGTTATTTTATTTCGCGAATTTTCATTCTTTAATTATTAGAATTCTTGATTCTTAATAAAAGTTCTTAGAAATCTCGAAAATTAGGAATATGTCCTCTCATTTGAAAAATATGGTTTTTCCCAAATTTGTAAATAGCTTTCCTACCAAATTGTGCGAGTAAACTATTGCTTCTTGATAAGGAAATAATTCTATTATATAAAATGAAGTATCAGAAAAATATTGAACGAGTTAGAAATAAAAAATCCCGTTTCAGAGTATTTTTGTTGGATGATTAATTTTGATCTAAGTTCATTGAAATCAGTGACACCAATTTAAGTAGTAATTTCTTTAAAATACAAAAATTTTATTTCATTCGTCTGCTGAATGGAGTCTGACTTAGTACCAACCATTCTGAAGTATGATGAAGACTCTGTTAAAGAAAAGAATACAATTTCACAGCTTGAATTTTATACAGTTATCGATGCTACAATGCTTAAATTGCTTTAGAGTTCATTATGACTATGGAATTTCATTTTTGATGAAGATGATATTGTACAAGCAAGGAATAATCTTCCGTGAAAGCAATTTTATATCCAGAGTTAAACATTTATGATTTTACTAAATTTTCTACTCGCAAAATAATTTTTTTTTGCAAAATTAATAGGAGTGAAAAAATATAATGTGGATTTAACCGATCCCTCAAAGCGAGTTGAAATTGATATAAAATCCTTTCAAGTTTTGAAATTAAATATCCCGGTCAATTTTTTTCTTAGAGTCAAACTTCTAGTACTTTTTATTTTTTCATAAGGGATATAAAACTTTTCCGGATATAAATATAGAAAGCGGGAGACCGCGTTAAAAGTTAGATTTCGTTATCTGCATTTATTTTAAATATATCTTACTGATAATTTTGAGGAAAATTCTACATATTGTAATGCATGAAGATACTCCTGACGCCATATTTTATGTACCTTGGGGCAGAATTGCTTGTTTTGTTTTAATAATACCTCCAACTGATGTGGTATCAATGTTATATAAATGTAGATGAATAAAAATAATTTCATTTTTGTTAACAATTTTTTTTTTTAAATTGAGAAGTCTTTTTTTATAATTAATGTCAGTATTTCTTTGTTTAATCAAGTATAACCAGGTACAACGCCCACGGTTAGCTCAAAATCTCGGTTAATCCGAGGACAATTAAAACACAGTGAAGTATATTATACCACATTATAAGAAAAATATTCTAAATCCTGTTATTAACTGATGAAAATGCTGTTAACAATATGCTTATAGTTTCAAGCAGTTTAATCTAAAGGATAAATTCATTTGATTACGCAAATTAAATTGATATTAAAAAAGAATACAACGTAAATAAGGGAAGCTTGATCATATTAAAAAAATGATGAAACAAAGTTTTAAATAAAGTTAAAGAATAGAAGAGAAGTATTATTTAAGAAATTGAACAATGTCACTGAGGTCAAATTAGCGTGAAAACGTCGGTTAGAATATTTTGCATTTTGGTAGATTTCATCTGGTATCATCTAGTATCTTTATTCTTACTCCACGCATTTATATTTTCTTTTTTGCATTTGCTGTAGATGGTTTTGACGGTAATTTCCCATCGTTTCCTAGTAAACAAACTCATTTTCTTTTTAAATCGGAAAAGGACTATTTGTCTCGAAACGCGATTTCGCGTTATTTCACTTTAATGGGTTGTTTCACTTTTCTTTCGAGTTTGCTGCTATTGGGAAAATACACGATACTATTTGTTTATATTTAATCCGTCTGTTATCAATTAAAAAACTAAACTATTTAAAAGTAACAGTTGCAGTTCATAAGAATATTTTTTTTTACTTTTTTTATCTGATTGATTTCAATAAAAATGCATTTAATTCATGATACATCTAATTAAAAACATTAAATATTTTCATACAATCAAGTTACATATTTTGTCACCTTTTTAAATATACAGAAGTTATATAATGCCCATGTTAGTCTAGATGCATACTCATCTAATATCCTATACAATGTTTCGCTATTCCACATAGGCCATTTTTATCGATTATCTCTACTGATAAAACATATTAGCCTTTACAGAGCACTTTTGGACCATTTCGTTCAAATCTGAACGTTCCAGATTATTGTTTCCATTATTTATTTATTATTTTGTGAGCTCTTGCGCAAGAGAGTATAACTTTTAAATAATTATATTAAGGAAGGTTTAATTTCTATTAAATAAATTAAATTTTTATTTTGAAGGATATTTCTATCAAATATAGCATATATCTGTATAGCCGTGAATAAACGCGGTCACATTAAGCGGCGTCTATTGTACCATTATTTTATTTGTTTATTCATTTATTTTTATTTTGGGCGTTATAGACTCCATCTCTCGCGTGCCCTCTTTATCTCTCTTTTATAAAAATCGCGATCTTCCTTATCACAAATTTTTATAAAAGCTGATACATCTATAGAAATTTCCTGTGAAACTTTCTAAGTGCCCATCTACAGAAATACTTTTTTTATATTCAAAAGAAATTTTCTAAAGCATTCACATAATGGTATTCTATACAAATCTTCAAATTTTCCAATCTTTAATCAAAGTAACCGCTTATTTTTTTTATGCAATACGAAACAACAAAATTAACACATTTTATTCATCAGTGTGGAATCATTTTTGAAAAGAAATTTTTGTCTTTTCATCTCTAGCTTAAGTTTTTTAGTTTCCAAATTTATATAGCATTTTGTACAATTTTTTTGTATATACATAATAGAAAAATTAAATCTTGTAGAATTGCTAATCAATTTTAATCATAGAATTGGTTAAAATACTAAATTTATGCTGTTAACTACAAAATTTTAATTCTTGAAATAAAGTATTATATATATTCCTCTGATAAGAGAAACGTTTTTTAATTTTTATTAAACTTAATTTGTATTTAAAACGTATTTTTTATTTAAATATTTTTAAAAATCGAAAGGATATTGACATTTTTATTAAAGCCAAACCGTACCTCTACCGAAGCTCTCTGAGTCGTAAGTCATTTCAAAACTTAGATTAAGACATTCTATTTAAAAATTAAAATTTCCCGAATTTTTATAATCCCAAAAGAAATTGTTGATTATTTGATAATGTTTTTAAGTACTCAAAAGCTCCTATATTACATTTTCGGATAGAAAATTAAAGCAAGAAAACGACTTCAGAATTCTTTAGAATTATGATCACGTTTTTGGATCTGATAATTTCTTTAGAATTTTATTAGTTGACTATTTAATCTCCTACGTATACATCTATATAGAATATATAGAATATATAGATATATTCTATATATATTTATATAGAATCTCCATACATAACTTTATAGAAGCTATATCTAAAATTTAACAGAATCCTATCAAAAATCTCTGATATAATTTATAAAAAGTTGGACCAAAATTCTAAAGTATTTAAGAAGCCTTAACATCAGATTTTTTAGAATATTCTATAAGAAGTTTTGTTAGACAATACCATAATGCCACATTATTCTCACCACTGTAAGTGAGTTACAGATTTCTTTAGCGAGCAAAAATCCTTTGATGGTCTTTTTTCTTCTGACAGTTTGATATTTAAAAAATTCATATTAGCAGTCTGGTCACGTTCGAAAGCTGAACAAAAGCTGAGCTTACCTCATATAACTCTGCCTGCAGACGACCTTTCTTTTGATTAACTTTCAATCGCTTTTGATCGACTTTAAATAAGATTATAGACCGAGTTCCAACCCTACTGTCTTCTGTGGAATTTCTTGCCTACTTCTACTACTTTCTGTTTCGTTTCCGTAGTTACTAATCTACTTGATTATGCTTCTCGCTTTCAGTTGTCGAGTCAGAAAGAAAAATAAAAAAAGGGAAAAATAATTCTAGGCCATCACCAGATTATTATATCATCCTATTCGCTGTAACGCACCAGCGATAATTATTTCTTACGAGTTTTTGACAACATTGTTAACATATTTTCTAAAATAAGCACAATTTCTGTGTTTTCGCGTATTATTTGGCAAAGTTAATAGCAATGTTTGCATGCTTTAATTAATGAATTATTCGAATATTTTGCTAAATTAATAACGGATTGATGTTGACTCTTGGTTCCTTTTAGCAAATCGTTCTAGAATTCAGTCGTCTGTTTCCTGTTTGGCGTATCCTCTTTTTATTCCTGAAGCGGAAGTGATACTTACCTGGCCATTTATTATTTCTTTTTTTTTTTTTATCTGTTTCGTAACCTTCAAACTGCAAAGAAAATGATCTCAATTCAGTTTTCTTGGATATTTTTTATTACTGCTGTATAATTTTGCGGTTAATTCAGCCCACTTGTTATGCTGTATGAAATTTTTTTCTCTAGTTGTGTTAAAGAATTTTTTTCATAGCTTTATTTTAATCTCAAACACGTGCAGTAATGCACGTGCAATTGTGTTTTTCATGACGAAACTCATTTTGAAATTTCAATTTTTTTCTTTCAGCATCAGAAAGAACCTCTCAAATCGTATATTAGTTTACATTTCGTTTAGATGATGTTCGAGCTCGTAATTAGAGTCGTAAACTAAAGCCAGAGTTACTACCAATTCACAAATGCAAGAGCTTTCAATAATCTTGTAATCTCTATTATTAAAAATGTAGAATTTGTGAGTATGTGAGTTCGTCCCACAAAGCAGCGATGGATAGACACAGAGCTACGAAATTTGGAACATTTAATGAGATAACTGAAACTCTCGGAAATTATTGTTTGCATCATCGAATAGAGTGGATAGGAAAAAAAAAGTTAATTGTAATTTATACCGAATTTTTAAAGTTATTTACTGAATTTAGCCGTTTTATGCATCCATTATTTTAAAATTTTTAACATAAAAAATGTATCTATATTAAAGTTTTGAAATTTGCTTACATTATAAAACAAATTATTCGCCGTCTTTAAAAACAAGAATGTTAAAAAAAAAAAAAAAAAAAAAAAAAAAAAAAAAAGGAAAATTTATCAATTAGGCGACTTTTTAGATTCTTTACAGTCTGCTGCAATATGATTTTTAAGTAAATGGACATTTCGCGTTCATCCTTGTGCATTACATTATATGCCTCAAAAACACGATTTTTAAAATATGATGTCATTATACGTCACACATTTTTCTTCTGTATAGATTTCTCTAACATCGAATTTAATTACTTATTTATTTATTTAGCCCTCCTTGCTAGAAAGAATTATTTGTAATAAAATATGCTTTTTACAAAAATCTCATGCCATTTCATATGTGATATAGCTTTTTCTTTCTTTTTTGTTTCAAAGACTAGTTGTTTCAACGGCCAATCGTATACAATTTCGTTTAAAAAAGAAAAAATTATATTATGATTTTAATGAATCCAGCTAATGTAATTTCACGAGTCCAGCTAGTAATTAATAATACTTGAAATGAATCTGCGTTTATTGTTTTTAAATCGCTTAGTTTGTTAATTAATAAGAGAATAAATTTGGGAGAAAAATATTTTACACAAATTAATATTACAAATATCTTACACTTTTCCGAACGACAGCGGACTACTATAAAATCTTTTTTTAGTTGAGGCAATCGTAGCAAACTTCTTTTAGACCAATGTTCCTCAACTGTATTTACTCCAAGGATCGGTAAAATATTTCGGTACTTTCTCGCGGACCGGTATGTTTAATAATTCGACTCATTAGCACAATTTTTGGACAGATAGCTAGATATTTCGCGGACCGTCGTTTGAGAAACACTGTTTTAGACCACTTAGTTTGTTGATTAAATTCGAAAGATAAATACATTGCATTTTGCTTAGTGGCATCACACTTCTTTTATAAAGCAGTTTTCTGATTAAATTTGAAATCTTACATTTTTTGGCAGAGTGACAATACATCATTTTTTAATCGCCGAGTTTTTAACCGAGTATTCTTTAAATTCGCGCAAAATGTGAAATAAATAAAAAACAAATTTGAAATTTAAAATTCTGTCTTAAAGATGCACACGTTCAGGTGGTGGACTTTTTGTGTTCAAAATTTGGTATCTGTTAGGTGCTGTCTCTTTTCCACAATGCGAATAACACACATGCATTCAGATTTCTTCATTATTAATCTCTACGTATAAAAGAAAGAGTCTGTGTGTCTTACGTTCGTGCTGCGGGTAATCTAATAGACCCAGGGCTACGAAATTTGGTATATAGGTGCACCTAGACAAGAGCCAGTGCACCTTCGAAGCGAGTTTTACAAAATTCGAATCAGATTTTTTTATTTTATCTTTTCGATTTTATCGCATCATTTTGAATAGTTTCATTTTTTTAGAAATGTGGTTTTGGCAACAGTTTTTCATTCAGTTGTATACTGGACTGCTGACTGTTGAAAATCAGCACTGTTGCCACTTGGAAAAATTAGGGCGATAGTTCTGTGCAGTTTTTAAATTTAATGCTTCTCTTGGATACTGGACGTTTGTCGAGAGACGGCAACGGGAAGTTGGTTAATTTATTTATTAGGATAATTAATATTTATATTAAGGGATATTGCTTATTCCATTGTAGTTTTGTTATATGTAATATATTTATTTTTTAAATTTGTGGTGGTTTTTTTTTTTTTTTTTTTTTTTTTTTTGGTCCAAATAGGCTTTGTCTCTGAAGGACTATTGTTTTCGTTTTGTGATTTTGCGTTAGTTCACTATAAATGTCCGTTTCACTTTTCAAACTGTTACCACAAAATGTTAGAGTCCTAAATTATATTTGAAGAAATTAAATAATGAAAAATCTTCATAAATGTATGCATATTTCTCGCATTGGGGTAAAACAACGGTACATAGAGCCATCGAATTTTGAATGACGTAATCCTACTGCGAATATGGGAATGTGGAAGCCCAAATTTGAAATTTGGAATTTGTTTTATTATCGATTTCCTATTTTGTAAAACTTTTAACTAATTTTTGATTAACAAACTTAAGGATTTCAAAGCGAGCAATGGCTTTGAAATCCTTAAGTTCTTTACTTGTACAGAAAAGAAATTTTATCTCCGGCGCTCGAGACTGTAACGGAAATTTTAAAGATATGCTCATTTTAAAACTATCTTGCGATATAGCTGTTGAACTGAATTTTATGGTTTAAGCGAGAAGAACGTGATATTTAATAAATAAATGTAACACACAAAATGTTAAAAAAAACCCCTTTGGACGTAATTTAAAATCTGAAACATTTCGGATTTTCTTTTTTTTTATTCCTTTTTGTAGATTTGTGTAAATTTTTCTCAACATTTCATTTTAAAAGTGGGGCCCAAGAGCGGCCGAGCGGTAAAGTCGCTGAACACTGGTAGTTTGGTCCGAGGCTCGAATCCTGCGAACGGGCTGGCTACATGGGCGTTTTCGTGGTTTTGCCCATGTGTAACGTGTATACGAACCAGTTTCCCTTAGAAAGTCCTCTTAAGCAGATAGCCCTCGAGGCTTTGCCATATCACATACATTTTTAAAAGTTGATTTTCTTAATTTTATTGTACTCAACATTATTATACATTGAACATTATTATACATTGTTGAGTAATGTATACAACATACTCAATATTACTCAACATTATATTCTTTTTTTTTTTTTGTCAAAATTTGAACATTAAAATGTGTATCCATCATAAAGATTTTGAATTTTCACAAAAAAGTATTATTAATTAGACGTTTTTCTATATTTTTTAACTAGATGTTTGCGAGGCTAGCTTTTGGTCTGGCATGCGTAATTTGCCAGACCGAATGAGAATGTATTCAAGGGCTGGCCTCCTAAGCGGGTAGTATCATTTTGTTAATCAAAGTAATATACTTAATCACTTAAAGGCAGCTCGAATCATTTATTATCATTTGATGGATATATTTGTATAGAAATTAACAAAAATTACTTATTTTTCGTAATTTAAAATGACTAATAAAAGTTCATAAAAACTTTTACTGGATTAAAGCCGATTTTGAAAATAATTCGTCCAACAAAAAAATAAATATTTGTTATTTGCTATAAATGGATGTTTCGGGGTAATTTCAATTTCTGTTCAATTTCTGAACACTGAAGAAGTAGAAAATATTCGAAAAAGTTAAATACTCAAAATTAATTGAGATGTAACTATTCAGTGACACTGCAGAGATAAGGTTTATGACCATACAGTACAAAAACCCATTAGTGAAAGGGACTTAACATGAGTATCTCATCATAACATTCATATTTTCAGTGGGATTTGAAAGTAATGAAACTCTGCAAAGGTAAAGGTGAACATTTCGATGAACCAGACTTAACTCTTTGAGGGGCAGGAAAAGGTAATTAACTTTTTCAGCAAAACTCTTGTTTTGTTTACTGTATGAGGTGTTACAATGAAATTATTTGCGACAATGACACATATGTTGTCCAAGACATGCGGAAAAAATGATCTCTTCTAGTGGTTAGTGTCAGTGACCATTGCCCACAGAACACATCCCTACAAATCAGTCTCATGGAAACAGTTTTTCTTTTTCAAGCAGAGTGCAATTTTGCATGTGCTGCATTCCCACCCTGTTCTTACAGGCCTTTTTCTTGGTTCGATGGCTGGTGCTTATTTTCTTGAAGACGAATTACTGCATCAACTACTGGCTTATGTTTCTTGATTGCCATCTAGTGAGCTACAAGGGAACTTCAGAAACGTTAGTCTTGAAAACCACTCACACGAGTGAGTAAGACGTTCAGTAGAAAAGATGGTTACTGTAGGTAACCACCGCCCTTCAAGATGTTAAAATGTCTTATGACCAGAACTGCCTTTGAATGGATAAAGGTGTGGGTTGTTTTTGTGAATGAACTGTCG